ATCTGCAGATGTGAGGATGTGAAGATCTAGATCTGCAGATGTGAAGGTGTGAAGATGTAGATCTGCAGATGTGAAGGTGTGAAGATGTAGATCGGCAGATGTGAGAGTGTGAAGATCTAGATCTGCAGGTGTGAAGGTGTGAATATCTAGATCTGCAGATGTGAAGGTGTGAAGATCTAGATCTGCAGATGTGAGGGTGTGAAGATCTAGATCAGCAGATGTGAAGGTGTGAAGATGTAGATCGGCAGATGTGAGAGTGTGAAGATCTAGATCTGCAGGTGTGAAGGTGTGAAGATCTAGTATAACGGCTGCTTTTTTACGAAGAACCCTTCGCAGGCGCTCTCGGGAAAAACATCGAACTCAAGGGGGGATCTCCCAGCAAGCCATGTGAAGTTTGTCGTCGGTACCGGTAAATTACTCAGTCATAAATACCCTCTAGAGTAAACTAACATAGCTATTGAAAATGATCATAGAAATAGTGGATTTACCCATTAATAGCATGGTGATTTTCCATAGTTTTTTGTATGTTTACCAGAGGGATCCAGAGGGTATGATGTTTATCCCCGTTACACATCCTGCTGTTGTTCCCTGTCTCACCTTCAGCAACATGGTGATACAGTAGATCTAGGGTAGTACGTGATGAAAAATCCATGCGATGACAATCCAATGCGTTGTGAAGTGACTTGTGACTGAGCATGAATCCAAGCTTCAAGCATGTCCAATATTGAATGGCTAAAAATTCACATTTGTTGCTGGTGATATACTTCATGCGGGCTTGTCTGATTTTGGGAAAACCCAAATTTACCAATGGGAGTTGGTGTGGCTACGGGCCAAAACCCGTGGCACCCTTCTGTTCACACCAAAACCTAGCTGGTCCTGTAAATGGATGTTCATCCGCCCTAATTTGTGGAAGATCATAGGTTTTAACCTTGGGTACATAGCTGTGGACACCGTTTGCTGATTACTTTCCTAGGAGAAACCATTGGTGTTACACATCTTTTCTTTCATGTTTACCCTAGGGGCCCGTTCAGAACAAGCCATGGAAGCTTTAACGACAAAAAAAACATCGAACTCAAGGGGGGATCTCCCAGCAAGCCATGTGAAGTTTGTCGTCGGTACCGGTAAATTACTCAGTCATAAATACCCTCTAGAGTAAACTAACATAGCTATTGAAAATGATCATAGAAATAGTGGATTTACCCATTAATAGCATGGTGATTTTCCATAGTTTTTTGTATGTTTACCAGAGGGATCCAGAGGGTATGATGTTTATCCCCGTTACACATCCTGCTGTTGTTCCCTGTCTCACCTTCAGCAACATGGTGATACAGTAGATCTAGGGTAGTACGTGATGAAAAATCCATGCGATGACAATCCAATGCGTTGTGAAGTGACTTGTGACTGAGCATGAATCCAAGCTTCAAGCATGTCCAACATTGAATGGCTAAAAATTCACATTTGTTGCTGGTGATATACTTCATGCGGGCTTGTCTGATTTTGGGAAAACCCAAATTTACCAATGGGAGTTGGTGTGGCTACGGGCCAAAACCCGTGGCACCCTTCTGTTCACACCAAAACCTAGCTGGTCCTGGAAATGGATGTTCACCCGCCCTAATTTGTGGAAGATCATAGGTTTTAACCTTGGGTACATAGCTGTGGACACCGTTTGCTGATTACTTTCCTAGGAGAAACCATTGGTGTTCCACATCTTTTCTTTCATGTTTACCCTAGGGGCCCGTTCAGAACAAGCCATGGAAGCTTTAACGACAAAAAAAACATCGAACTCAAGGGGGGATCTCCCAGCAAGCCATGTGAAGTTTGTCGTCGGTACCGGTAAATTACTCAGTCATAAATACCCTCTAGAGTAAACTAACATAGCTATTGAAAATGATCATAGAAATAGTGGATTTACCCATTAATAGCATGGTGATTTTCCATAGTTTTTTGTATGTTTACCAGAGGGATCCAGAGGGTATGATGTTTATCCTCGTTACACATCCTGCTGTTGTTCCCTGTCTCACCTTCAGCAACATGGTGATACAGTAGATCTAGGGTAGTACGTGATGAAAAATCCATGCGATGACAATCCAATGCGTTGTGAAGTGACTTGTGACTGAGCATGAATCCAAGCTTCAAGCATGTCCAATATTGAATGGCTAAAAATTCACATTTGTTGCTGGTGATATACTTCATGCGGGCTTGTCTGATTTTGGGAAAACCCAAATTTACCAATGGGAGTTGGTGTGGCTACGGGCCAAAACCCGTGGCACCCTTCTGTTCACACCAAAACCTAGCTGGTCCTGTAAATGGATGTTCATCCGCCCTAATTTGTGGAAGATCATAGGTTTTAACCCGGTCCTCATATCATAACCTTGTCAACGATTCATTGACGATATCATGCTTATTTTAGAATTTGATATCCCTTTTAATTAATTTACTTTTAATATATCCTTGGAAGTATCAAGTTTCATTTGTCATGTTGATTCTAAGTTTGTTCCAAACCCAATTGACTCAGTTAACTAGTTCGATACAATAATCATCGATCTATCCCAAGCTTCTCACCCATCGGTTCATTTGCTTGACTCTTCACAACCCATATGCGCAGTCAAATGACAATGTATATATCTGGTTGGTGGTTTCAACCCATCTGAAAATATGAAAATCAGATTGCATCATCATTCATCCCAACTATTGGGGAAAATAAAAAATGTTCCAAACCACCAACCAGTAGTGTGGTTGGAGAAGTATTCGTCTTTCATAGGTTCTCTAACAATATGTTTGCTACAAGTTGCAAGTGGCTACCTCGTGCTCAAACATGGTCCAGGTCGGTCATGCCCCATCCCTTTTCCGCTCAGGTCTCATCCACTGCCGCGGCCACAATGGCGGCAGTGAGCATTGCTGGCTCAGTCAGCGATGAGACGATGGCCTCATGAGAACTGGATGCCATATGCCACATGGATCCACATGGCACATGGCACATGGCTAGGATCATCTAGGATCCAGATCCAGAACGCAGGGACAAAATTCGGATGCCCTCTGAATCCCTCTGATGGCTGGGGTGAAATCCTGGGCAAAGTTGGAACGAAAGTCATCAGCTGCAGGGTCTGTCCATATATGGCGTACGTCCATGCTACCAAGAACCAGCATGAACCAGCACTAGTGTCACCATGTGTCACCGAGTGACCCGCGCCAAACCAACTTCTGAAGGCAAATCTGCAGTGGATGCCGGCAAGGAATCATCTTCCACTCGTCGCGCGCGGCATGCAAGGCTTGCTCGTTCGTATTCGACTTGAGCAGCGCCTGAGATCCGGGTCTCCGAAAAAAACATCCCAGGGCTAGGGCTTCCAACACATTTTCCAAACCACAAGCCAAATGGCAATAGATGGCATCATTGCAGATTTACAAATCAGATGATTTTACTACAAGGTTTGGTATCATCAGGGCCGTGAGAGGCTGGCGGTGTGCATCATTTCACTATGACCCTGAGGTCCCTACAGCCCTGAAATCTCGAGATAATCAATTCGAATAGATTCGAATAGATCATGTTGCACGGTATGTGTTCCAACAAAATCGAAAATACCATGAAATACCATACAAGTAACATTCTGTCAGATCTTCATTCCGTTCAGTGCTCCGATGTCATCAGCTGCAACACCACCTTTGCAAAATAACGCAACAGTTGAATCGAGTCAAACCACTGTGATCCGTACATATCCGTACTAGTATCTTGGGATGTCCTTGACAACATGCAACAACAATTTATAAACATATATAAACCAATATAAACCAATCAGCAAAGTCAAGCGGCTTGGAGGCTGCATCTCACTTTCCTCCTATTTTAAGACCCTTCACAAAGACCCTTCACTTCACAAAGACCCAGCGAATCCAAGTCGCAGGCATCTTCCATCTGACGGTAGTCAATCAAGGTGCGGCTGTCAGAAGCTTCAGCTTCCAACAACAACCTCAGCAACGGCACCTCGACGGATCCCAGAAATCTCCAATGCTCCAATGACCGACCTCTAAATAGTTGGGTCTCCCAATAATAAACCATAAATAACCATAAATAACCATAATAAATCTATGATAAATCTATAATAAATCTATAATAAATCTATCATAGACCTACCATTTGGATTCCTTGGATCCATTTGGGGATAGTTTGCCACGTGCCATCAGATCGAACCAGTCACTGTTTGGTCGCTGCATCCAGGTGTGGAGAGGCGCAGTTCCATGGAGCCTGGCACCAGACAACATCCACACATCGTACGACCACTAAACGAATTGAAAAAAATGAATCACAAGTAGAATCATTATTAGATAACTGTGAAGATCTTCTACAATAACTGTGAATCATTATGAATAACTGTGAATCATTATTAGAAGATCGGACATTACAATAGTTTAGGATATTCTATATAATCATACCCGATCTTCACAATTATTCTAAGGATGTGAAGATCGGAACGATTCAATTCATTATTAGGATATATTAGAATATCTGAAACCGTCTGAAACAGAGGGGTACATATGCCACTACATGATACTAAAATATATTCCTAAACATATAAACATATATCAACATATATGAACAATGTAAGGAGAGTATTGCGATTGTAGCCCTATGGCCATGCCCCAAGAGTTGGCATTTCTTATGTCTCGAAGGAATGCGCGGAAAATCACCGCAGTGAAGCCCCATGGCATGGGGGCCCACAGAGTTGATCGAGACATCCACGTCTTGGAAGAAGATCGTGAATCGTGAGCCCGCAACACATGCGTTTTTGGTCAGAATGCCCATGTTCAACTCAAGATTCCTACAGCTTCAGTGGCTTGGTATAGAATTGAGGGAATTTGGTGTGGAAGCCATCTGATAGGATTACCATTCCAAAATGATTTCGTTGTTCTTGTTCTCTATCCCCAAGCAACACCGAGTTGTACTTTCATTCTAAGATACTGAATCATGTGTCATGATCCAAGGCTAATCAAGGCTATACAGCTGCTAATCATGATACCCACTTCCAGGATGATCCGGGGCACTTCATGAAACATATATAGAAACATCATCTGGTTGGTGGTGCAATAACCATCTTGAAAAATGATGGAGTTCGTCAATGGGAAGGATGACATCCCATATATTAATATATATTATGGAAAATACAAAAATGTTCCAAACCACCAACCAGTCATGTTTCAACAAATAGCAATGCCACAATGCCACCCCTTCACCATGTCATGCCAGGCGTTTTTGTTGCCTCACCGCTTGCGGCGACGATCCGTGGGTTTGCTCGGGCGCTCAGCAAATAACGCACCACCTGGGGTCGTAATGGTGTTTAATCATCATTAGCAAATAACCATGGTTAAATCATGTTAAATCATGTTAAATCATTATTTCACCTGGTTAAATCTATTCTTGATCCACGTAGAAAGATCACTCAAAACTGAGGAAATGGATGGAAATGGATCAACCGTTGGGATTGGATTGGGGGCTTTAATCAACAATGATAGCCCGAGGGGAAGAACGTCTATCAAACCATTGTTTTGGGGGGAGCCTGAACTGTCCGTAGTTTCGGAAGCTCCAATTTCGGGCATATTCATATTTTGTTGAATCAGTGCGTTAAGGGGTTCAAAGCAAACTTGCGGTGGTTCAAAGAACGCTTCGCGACCCCCACAGCATATGGAAACGTACCATCAAACCGGAGGATGACCATCAGAACCCAGCTTTTTCAAGACCAAAATCTCCACTTTCAGAGCTATCCCCCACTGATTCCCCAGCTTTAGGGCCTCGCCATGACCGCGCCCGGCGGCGAAGAGTAGGGCCATGTGTCCCCGTCGGGTGGTGGCATCCAGTTGGGCTTGGTGCTTCAGCAGCGCAGCGCAGAGCGTGGCGCCATCTTTGGGCCGCAGCTGCGCCGCGTAGTGCAAGGGCCTCGGTTTGCGGCAGCAGGTGCAGCCAATCGCCCTGAAATAGCTGGCTGGATATGGCTGGGGATCTCAGAGGCTCAGGAGGCCTATATGGCTATATGGCTTCCTGAATGGCTTCATGGTGATTCACTCATGGCAGTCTTCCGATCTCTTTCGTATGGCCGCATAGAAGTGGCACCTTTTGTAAGGATTTGACCGCTATATTCAAGGCAGCAGGCCATGGATTCTGACTTGATGCAGCCCCAAAATTGAACAGCTGGAACCCCAAAAGGTCCACATTTGCTATATTTCTTCCCAAGACATGTTAGCAGTTCTATACTAAATTTTGTAGGTGAAAGTCCTTGAACACATGAGCAAAACCCCTTCCGCCTGGCTCTATGGCGAGAGGGACCGCAGATTTTGCCGAATCGCCATAGAATTGACAGCCAGAGTTGCATGCCCTGGGTTAAGTTACATACTTCATCCAAAGTGTTGGACAAGCGGCATAATAATTATATATGATACTGTATATTGTGGTATAATCATCCCAATGATGCAGACATTATGTTCCGAATGGTTGAACATATGTGGCCATGAGAAAGAACATATAATATATAAGTAGTCTCAGAATGGTTTCGAAACCTCTTGCCCAGGGTTCCCAGGTTGCTCCAGGGGGCGTCTTGCCATTGCTGTTGCCTCCCAAGGACAGCACTGACCATGAGATTTTCATTCACATCCTAGTTGAACATCGTCATTCTCTTTGCCAGGAATTCCTTACCCTTAAGTTAAGGCATGTTAATCAGCAGGAATGTATCGTAATGTGAGTTTCGGAAAGACAAGAACATAAGAAGTGCATCTTGATGAGTTACATGAGTAACCACCTCACATTCGCCCCTACCGACATAATCTTACACTCCTGGCCTTCGTTTATGCGCTTACCTTTAGGGTCTCGGGCGGTGAAACCCTACCAACATTGTATGTCTTACACTCCTGACTTCTTGCCTTGGTATAGAAGCAAGCATAGGAAACCAAAACAGGTCTAGCACTGCTACTGAGAATACACAGACTGGATCAGACTGGTAAGGTGAATGGTCAGCTTCCTACCAGCTCAACCAAGCCTTTGGTAGTACAGTAGGTGCAATTTAATCCCTGAGAAGTTGACAAATGTGGGGCAGAGCCATCGACCATGGAGCCTTTGTGAACAATCTCCTGCCGCTCCTCTGGTGGAAGCTGATCCAAGAATGCCTCGTTGAGCAAGCTGAGTCCAGGACTTTTCCCCCATTTGGTACCAGTCAATGAATATCACCCACAAGAATGGGTATATCATGCTATATCATATCGATCTATCATGATATCATGATCTATCCGTACAGGAGTCCGAAAAACAATAAGATAGGGCCAGTGAAATCAGTTGCAACCAAAGGTGTCATAAGGTGTCTGACTCTGGCCCAGAAGAAAGACGGCCATTGGGGCCTGAAGGCAACCACGTCCTACCCAGCTGCAACGGATCTAGAGATTGTCTTTCCACAAAATGAAAAGTACGTAATCCCCTGCAATCAAAGACAAACAGGTGACAACCAGACTAGCAATTTCTTGGCACTGTCCAAGTGATGGGGGGCTAATCTACTGAACATATTGATTTAATCTTTTCACAAGCTTGGGAAGAAACGCGTTTCTGATATACTCATACTCAACGGACCAGTCAACCTGCAATAACATCAACAAGTCATCTTTGAATCTAAGAGCCTTGAGAAGCCGAGTGAACGGAGTGACTGTCCAGAGTCAAGATGCAATGACATCCTCACATGGGATGCCTTTTCGCGAACACAGTTGCCGCAACTTCCAGGAGGCATCTTCAGAACCTGAGCGAGTCCAATCGCTGGCGCACTAAAAAGTGGCTCCGAGAACCGATGCTGAGACAGCCGGTGGTTTCCTGTCGTGGTCGTTTTACAACATTGCACCGTCAGAAACTCGTTGAATCATTGGGAATCGAACCGCTACCAACAAGACACTTGTTGATTATTGTTGATTTTGAAATTCTGCATGTCTAGGAATCTAGGCCCAGAAAAGAAAGTGAACCCCATCAAATGTGGGATTTGGAGTTGGTCCCAAATTTTGGGACGTCTGTCATGGCCCCTGGTGTCCAGGCTGGAAACTTCATGAGACCTGTTGGACACCTTAAAATGGCCATTTCATCGGGCAAATCATCTTTTCTGCTCCCGGCATGTTCGGGCTTTGCAAACTTATCTAGGTTCCAAGTCATGTATCCTCCCAATGATCATCACCCAATCAATCCGCCGTCATTTCCCCATCCTATTCAAAATGGCAAACGTGTGCTGAGTTGTGATCCACATTTTCAGGACATTGTAGCTACACATAAGAAGCACTGTCTCCCAGCCCCACACCGCAGAGCCGAGACACGCAAGGGCGGCATGTCCGGACACACCGGGCCGCCGAAAAGTGTGAACAAGACTTGAAGCAATACCGAGAAACAAGGTCAACTGTATAACCAATCTTTTCAGGCTGAAACAGATCAAACACATTCAAAACCCTTTTCATTATATTACTGTATAATATTAAGTTTGCACATTCGTCTAAAACCGAGCCACCATCACCTTTTTTGGCTAGTTGATATCCAGATATCCTTTAAAGCACAAGTTCAATCAGCATTTTGAGGACGCGTAGACCACCCCAGCGCGGCATGCAGCTCACCACGAAGAGGTGACTTCGTCGAATGGATTATAAAAAGATCAGGACCTTTGTTATGTTCAATTGATCCAAAAGGACACAAACATATGGATCATATCAAATTACAATATACGCATATGCACATGTTTTTCCCATGTGAAAATACCGGCTACAGAGGAACCTGAGTTTATCTCGCCTATAAATGCATCTGGAAGGGTCTAGACTTGGGAAAGGCCACGTTTTAGGTGGAAAAATCCATTCTTTTCAGTGACAATAAATGCACTTGGACTTGCTTAAGAGACTCCCCAGACATATTTCCAGTGGATTCCCTATGAAGGAGTACTCAATCCGGAACAATGGGCCCAATGGGCAAGGAAAAAATCACCTTCACTGAATCCAGGTGTAACAATGGGCAAGGCATATGCAAATGTTACACGCAAACAGCTGATAGAGACACAACCGCTCTTGGTGCGTCTGATTTCACAAAGGGGGACCTCGACACGGATCCATTTCCTGTAAGTCTCATGAAAACTGCCAGTGCGCGGGGGTACAATCAGTCATTTCTTCAAAGCAGTTGGCTTAATACAATGACAAGCCTGGTGGGTCCACTGCCGCAAGTTGAACATGTTGAACCACAGATTGGATGCCAAACATGCCAAACTTCGAGAAAACCCCAAGCTTTTCTGAGGATTGAGTCTCGCCGTGCAGGCACATCTCGCCGGCTGCAGGCTTCGGCCCCTTGCGGTCCCACGGCAGGACGAGGAAAAACCACGCGGCGCAGTGGTGGAGCCATGTTTGGGTGAACATCCCACCTGGCAACTCGTGGAAACTCATCAAGTAACCATACTTTTGTATCAGTTTTTATAATCACTACCCTTTTAAGATCTTTTAAGGGGTGGCCTACCCAAAATGTAGGCTACATTTTAGACGTGTTTTCTTGGGGGGTGCGTCCAAAATGTCAACTTTTGTTTAAAATCATGTTTCAAAGTACGTTCAAAATGTAAACTGCATGTTACTAGGGTCCCCTGTTTTTTTCAAAAAACCTGAGGGGACCCCAAAGATGATAAAAATGCAAGCTTACATTTTTAAAAAAATGTAAGAAGAGTGAAAAAAACATGTAAAATGATATTCTAAACGTCTCCAAATAGCTGCAGAATTGCAGAAAACATCACGAAAACCAAACGTGTAAACTAAAAGTTTGTAGGACCCCTAAATGCAAGGTACTCCACATACATTCTACACTTTTTGATCATTTCAACATGTAACATAGAGGAAAAAAGGAGGTCCATAATTCCTTGCAAATTACGGGAAAATCCTTGAACCTCCAAATATGTACTGTAAATTTAGATGTTGAAGGTCTTAAAATTTACCTCCCATCTATGGGAATACAATGGAATACAGGTGCAACGGTGTAACTAAGACTGTAGCCATCCCACAACTGAGGTCCATAATTCCTTGCAGAACGTGCTCAAAAGAAAGATGTAAAACTAAAGATAAAATCATGTAACCATCACACACCTGAGATCATTCCTTGCAGACTGTACCCAAAATAGAGGGTAAAGATAAGATAGAATAATGTAACATCATGTAACCATCCTACACCTAAGGTCCATGGTTCCCTGCAGAGTGTGCTCCAAGTAGAGGGTAAAGATAAGATAAAATCATGGAACCATCCTACACCTAACGTCCATACTTCCCGTGATACATTCAAAAACGGGTGAGGGGTAAGGGTAAAAATCGAAACTTACATTTTGTGTACGTCCTCCCCCTGTTCCCTAGCCCTTGAAAGGGTGGTGTTTTTTATATTTTTTTGCAGGGACCCGTTGGCACGTACACGTATGTACACCTACAGTATGCATACATATATTGCCACACGTCCATGCGTGCATTGCCGTCCACATTTACATCGATAACATGGACCGAGGCGCAGTACGTATATGCGGTTACATACACAAACTATTCACAAACTTCTTCACACACGATCGAAGAAAAAGATGCACTTCAAACCAGCGTTCCAAATTCGTCGTGATCCCACAGATGGTATATAGATTGTATGAGCAACGGGTCGTATCAACTTCTGGATCCTCGTGGCAACTCGGGTATCGCCTTGACACCACATGCCTGTGTCTGTGCTATCCTGTGCAATCTTGCGCTGCTGAATGAGCACATTAAATATCGCTGCACTGGCGTTCAAATGCCGAAGGCAACGGCTTGCAAGAGGTATTTCATGCGGGTGGGTCGCCAAAAAGGAAGTCAGCACGGGGATGTCGGCCCCATATTTTGGGGGAGCATCACTCAAGCTGTTTGTTAAAAACCCTGTAGAAATGTTCATCATCTTGTTCCATGACAACAAATCCATACAATCCCAGTTTCCAGTTATTCCCATTTCCGTTGTTGTAAAAAATCAATGCTTCTGAATGTTTTGTCAACCACTAAACCAGTTCTTTCATGTTCTTTCTTGAACAAAAAGGGGATGAGACAAACACACTTGAAGACGCTTGAACACAAGCACTTTGACAGGAACGAAGTCGTGGGATTTTGCAGCTCAGACAGGACACACAGGACACCCGCTGACCATCACTGACCCCCAACCGTTCTGGATTCGTCGCTAAATCGACCTTCCGGAAGGCCGATGCCGCGATGGTGGTGTGTCAAATGAGGTACGCCGAACAGCGTCCGTTCAAATGCCACGTTTCTGCAGGGATTCACCGGTTAGTGATCTGCAGAAACACCACCAACCAAGAGTGAAGACCATTCCAGTGCACCGCGCACTGCACTTAGCATTTTGAGTGAGGAAATGTCAGGAATCATGAATTAGTATGGGATCTCACACCCAATCGGAACTTGGATTCTGGAAATGTGCCATGGTCAATGTCAATCAACAAATATCCTGAACCACCCCTTGAATCACACACTGAAAAGCAAGGATTGAAGTGATGGCTGAAAGGTCCACATGTCAACATATGTCAACTTATAAATTATATATTTAGTTATATAGTTCTTGAGAATGCCTACAAGTTTTAGAAAAAGCTGCCCGGGGAAGAAATAAGCTTCAGTGAAACTTGAATAATTGTTACATAATATGACCTGCTATCTTCAATACATTTGGATCAAAGGTGCTGATCTTGTTGATCCCTCATAGATCCCTCATAGATCCCTCATATTCTACGAGCTCCGCCGCCCGACGCAGAGGTGACTCGTCACTCGTCGTCTTTGCGACCCATGGCTGAGCTCCTTGCAACGAGACCGAGACCTGAACACGACACAACTCCCGACACGACGCACGACGCAACACAGGACACGCGTCTGTTTACACACAACGTGTTCGATTTACCCAGTTGAAATTTCAAGAACCTCCAGTCATCAGTCAAAGGATGTAAGGATGTGAAAGGATGTGAAAGGATGTGAAAGGATGTGAAAGGATGTGAAAGGATGTGAAATGATGTGAAAGGATGTGAAAGGATGTGAAAGGATGTGAAAGGATGTGAAAGGATGTGAAAGGACCCTGCATGATGGGACTTTGAAGTTTTTGATCTTTTTTCATCCTGAGCAGCGCAAAAACGTGGAATTGTCCTTGTCCTGCTGTGCTGCGCCTCATCCACCGAGCACACGCAAATCTTCCAGGGAATTCTCCTGCGGATCTGTTGAAAGCGCGTTTGAAACCACTGTTGAACCCTTGAACCCGCTTTGACTTCAAATATCTTCAAATCTTCTCCAACGACGTTCAACTTGTTCAACTTCAGGGGAAACAATTCTTGTCAGCGTTGCCAAGGTTGCACACTGGGTGGATGCTTTCACCGTCATTTCACTCCATGCCCTGACCCTATGAATTTCACCTGAGGGCCTCCACTATCTGGGCCCAGGTCTCAACTCAGACCCGAGCATCGTCAGACTCTGGTGATGCAATGCGGCTATTTGTATCGATGAAATGCTATGGACCCATGGAATTTGAGCTCATGCGGCGGGCGAGCTTCAAGTGCAATGGAGCCATGGTTCTCTCACCCACCACTGGAATCTGTAGATTTACCACACCCAGAGTACCGGTCTCCTGGCAGTTCTCGAGGCTGCAAGCTGCAGCGCAGGTGCCCCCGACGGCACAGCCCATTAAGGCAGCAGCTCCTGGGAAATGCGGACTGAAACTGCCAAATTTCAAAAGTCCTGCTCTTTGGGTGAAAGTTCAATCAGAAAAGGCACCCATACTTTTGAGGTCTGAAACCTTGGATCAACCCATCAGAATGGTGTCCCGGGTGTCCATTTGCACTTGTAGGTCTTGCCTGTTGGATCTTGCATTTCTAGCAGTTCTTCACAGAGCAAATTTAAAACAGTTTAAGTTTAAATCATTCGCTGCAAAAATTTGGGACGTGACAGTCAAGTTAAAAGTCCAAATACAAAGATTACAAACTTGACACACCAATCCGATCGGAAATGACAACCGCCCAGGAGGCTCCCATCGGCAAGTCCAGATTCGACAGCAAAATCTCCTGGCAGCTCGACAGGAAAAACTGACTGCCCGCCGCCCGCTGACCGTCCACATCCATTAATATACTATAACATGACATGCAGTTGGCGATTGAGGTACCCATACCCAAGAAACCTGTGGGTCAGTGGGGACCCTGTTCGAGGACCTTGGGCAGCTGAAGTCAGTGGTTCAACGAGACTCAATTGAGTGAAGCAAAGATGCAACCACTCGCCACGAAAATATGAGTCATATAGGTCATCTATAGGTCATCCCAAAAAGGTGCCCCC